GAGTTGGTTACACAAAAGTACTTCATAAATAGTAATTTTTAAAAATCTTAATATTAGGATAACATTATGTTTATTCATTGATTATTAACATTTTTAGACATGGCAAGAAAGCATGAAAACATGCTCCAATGTGTTGGAGTCCAGGTCTGCAGATGACCCTCTCCCAGTGTAAAAAGCCTCACAAAACAGGACATGAGGGCCCCCTTGCGAAACAGGAACTGGCCAGACAGCTACATTTACAGCTGTCTCAGCAAAAAGCTGTCCCCCAGATAATTTTGGATGGTTATAGAAATCAATAATGTTCATACAAAATGTCCCAAGGACTGGAGAGATGGCTCAGCAGTGACGAGAACTGGCTGCTCTTGCAGAGGACCTGGGTTCGGTTCCCAGCACCCACATAGTGGCTAATAACCATCCGTAACTGCAGTTCCAGGGGAACCCAATGCTATCTTCTGACCTCTGTGGGAACTGCAAGACACGGGTGCACTTACATACATGAAAGCAATACACTCATACACAAAAAGTAATATAATAATAAAAAAGTCCCCTTAAAACCTTACATATAACACTTATTTTCAATGGTTAAATTAGCTTTCAAGTCTGCAAGCTTCCAATCATCTTATGGAAGTGGATTATATGTATTTCTACCAAGAATCAAGACAGAAGGAAACAATGATCAACATCCATTGCCTATCTGCAATGTGCTAAGTATCTTTCTAAAAGTTCTGTGTGACCAGTAGCACTACTTTGTCTCTATTTTATAGAGGACGAATCTTGAAACAAGTTCTACTTAAGGTAGGCTGTCCCTAGAAACAGAAATAAACTGCCTGTTTCACATTGTAGAATTTGCTATGAATGATAACATAGGGGCTCTGGAGAGATAGCTCAGGAGTTAAGAGCACTAACTGCTCTTGCAGAGGGCCCTGGTTCAATTCCCAGCCCTCTTCTGACCTCCACGGGCATTGCACAACAGAGGTGCACTTACAGACATGCAGGCAATACACATATGCACATAAAATAAAAAAAAATAATAAGTAAAATATTTTAAAGACAACATACTGACTGAATCAGTATAGACATGAACTTTTTAAAGGTTTTTTGTTTGTTTTGAGACAGGGTCTCACTATGTAGCCTTGGCTGTCCTGGAACTCTCTCTGTAGACCAGGCTGGCTTTCAACTCACAGAGACCCACCTACCTCTGCCTCCCCAAGTCATAAGCCACAATGCCCAGCATTAAAGTTTTTAAAAATCATTTTTTTATTTTAAATTTTTAATATTTTATTTATCATTTTTATTTTATGTGTATGGGAGCTGGAATCCAGGTCCTCTGTAAGAACAGCCAGTGCTCTTAACCACTGAGCCATCTCTCTTAGCCCTAAAAAACATTTTTACAGAAAACTTATAGAGGTCATATGCATCTGTTCATATTGTATTTCTAAACTGAGATACACTAAGTATACAGACCAGATATTGAATTTAATACAAAAAAGTAAAATAAATTTTTTACTGATTACATGATAAAATGATAGCATTTTGATATACTGGGCTACGTTAAAATATACTACTAAAGTTAATTACATTTTTAATTGGGCTACTAGAAAATTTTAAATTACTTATGTGGCAAGCACCAGACACTTTAGGTCTGGGACTAAGAGAAAATAGTAACAGAATTATCCAGTTTGTTTCACTAACTAAATTAAGCCTAAGTCCTTCAAAGCAGCATCTTAAAAGGGAAAATTTCTCTTTCTATATGTGTGTGTGTGTGTGTGTGTGTGTGTGTATTCAAGATTACAGAAAACACAGAGCCTATGAAAACATACTAGACTAATATTTCACATATTCAACATATAAGATTACATTATGGGGCTGAACATGGTGGTGCACACTTTTAATCCCAACACTCAGGAAGCAAAGGCAGGCAGAACTCTATGAGATAGAAGCAAGCCTGGTTCCAGGCCAGTTCCAGGCCAGTTGGGGTTACAGGGGGACCCTGTCTCAAAAAAAATAAAAAATAAATTTTACATTATGACCAACCAACACTTTAGGTAAAAACCTATACTTTGTAGAAGACCCAAAGAAAGCAAATCAAAAGGAAAATAGCCACAAAGGAGGAAAATTATTTTCTTTAAAACTGAAGCCATAAAAATGCCTTTCATTAAGAACAACCAAGCTCTTAGTTTCCAGAGTAAAACAAATACCAATCTGTGTGATAAGTAAAATTTGTATTTCCTGATGGCATAATTGGCAGATTATTAAAATGTGATATTTGATATCTGGTATCTTCTAGAAAATATACAGTTTATGGATACCTGTCACATTGTTTTGATCAATTTTATACATCAAACATAAAGCTTTGATTCTTCTAAACAGATGCTGTTCCTCTATACAGAAGAAAATTACTCCACAAGTTTACATCAGATATGTGGAAAGTCACATTTATAGTCATGGCTACTATCAGCTGTCAAGCCAAAGAATATTGAAGAAAACGAAGAATTTTTAATATATGCTGGTTAATTTATCTTCTAAGTGACATATGTAGGATAAAAACATTGAAATGGTTAAGCAAAATTCTATTATTTTAAAAGGGTTTTTTTTTTTTTTGGTTTGATTTTTAGCTCCAAGTATGATTTAAGAAACTATGTTGAGGAGTCAAATAGGAATCATAAAAACTGAATAAACACTAAGTTCTTCTTTTCTTCCCTTCTCTGAAATACTTAAATGTTAATTTTTAAATAGTAATATTTTGATATTTTGCTTTGTCCAGGAAATTGGTTAAACCATCTAGTTTATGGTTAGTCCAGTTTGACACTTAGTTTGGGCTGGATAGGTTGTTCTGGAGAACTGGCCTATGCACTGTGGGATGTGGAGCAGCACCCCTGATGTCTACTCAACAGGGTCAATAAGCAGTCTTCCAACAGTTTTCACAACCAAAAATGTTTAAACATTGTCATGTCTTCAAGGAATAAAACTTTCCCCAGCTGAGAACCATTAATCCCTCTATTACTACCCAAAATATCTTCCTATTTGGTGAAAATTACTTCAGTATTGCATAAAATAATAGTATTTCATTTTAGGGGTTCTTTGTAGGGGATCTTTAAATAGCTTCAGTAAGGAGATCAACAAACTTGCTAAAATTATGTTCAAAACAATTATGTTTATATTTCTCTGTATGCACTATAATACTTTCTGGAAAAAATGTTACTTAGCTTTATTAAATTCTTTCTTTTTTAATTTAAAATATTTTATTTATTATTTTTATTTTATGTGTGTGCATGTATTGCCTGCATGTAGGTAAGTGCACCTATGTTGTACAATGCCTGCGGAGGACAGAAGAGACTGTCAGATCCCCTGGAACTGGAGTTATGGACAGTTGTTAGCTGCCACGTGGGTGCTGGGATTCAAACCCGGGTCTTCTGCAAGAACAGCTAGTGTTCTTAACTGCTGAGCCATCTCTCCAGCCCCAGCTTTGTTAAATTCTTAAGGCGTTCTCTCTCAAATGCCAAATTAAAAAAAGGGTTAATACATGTTTCAACTAAAATATTCACTATACCCTGAAGCTGTCTATTCAAAGACACAAAGATTGAAAATATTATTTTTTACACAGCAAATAATTTATTTGTGCTGTCGTTTATCAGGCAAGATTGCTTTCATCACACTAAAAGCCATTAATACAATAGACATCTATTGAGTACATTCTTTATGCTAGGCAACTATGTTATTACTATTTGAAACTTAAATTTCATTTCTCTCACTAAAAAGAGGGGGGGAGATTAACAAAAGCTGTATAAAATCTGTATTTATGTCTAAAAATTTTTATTAAAAGTTAAGATAAAAAAATTAAAATTACTTAAATTTTAGTATTTAAACACAAAACAAAGGCAAATAAATTTTTATTCTTGCTAAGATATAAATATTATAAATCTAAAAGAAACTTAATAGATCCACATACTAATAATTATCTAAGCACATTTCTTTCCATCTTTTCCTTCCTTCTCTGCCTTAAAACAGAGATGCCCTGAAGCCCACACTACCCAGCATCATATTGAATGACATATCAGACACTGCTATGAAGCCAGAGGATATTAAATTGAACAAAATATATAACGAGATGACCAAAATTAAATGCTCAGCATGATGCCTACAACACAAGAAAAGCTTGACAAATACTTTCTTCCCTTCCTTTTCTTTTTGTCCTCCAGGAGCTCACATCACAGTCTTTTCTCCAGTAAGTATCACATGTCTCCAAATCTCCTTTCTGAGTTACCTTTTAGGTGCTGCACCATAAAATCATCTTTCAAATTACATATACTAAGTAAATTACCAGCTAAATATGTAAAATGTTTATATAACTCTTATTCTATAACCTACAGAAACATTTACTTTTTTAAAAGTAAACAATCCCAAGTATGCTATAGGGTGGTTTTAAGTTTACACAGCCAAAAATCTTTTTTGGATTACACAACTGTTATATACAATTTGAAAAGCCATTGCATTCAATAAGTGGACTGGGAATAATAAACACACATGTAATCAATAAGCACATAAGGAACAGCTAGAAAAGAGTATGTCGCTTCAAGATTAGCAAATGGGATTAAAGCATACAATGAGCAGAAAGATTAAAAATAGGTAGTAAATAAATCTTTACAAATAAATTAGAAAACAATTGAGCCCATAAATGAAATTATCACCCTAAATAAAATAACATCATATCTAACCAAGAGCAAAACAACTGTTAGGACAGAGAATGTGCCTAGCACTTAAAAGTAATTTTGATTAAAGGAATGGCTAATAACGTTCATTTTATATAGTCTCAATTAACTGAAAACAGTATATAATAAAATTGTACTTCACAGAAGATCAATGTTATAATGATAATGGTAAAGCACACAGGAAACGCTAAACATACAGTAGTAGACTTTGGGGAATTGAGGAGGATTGCAACTCAAAATGATATAAATCTTCTGGCACATAGGAAAAAATTACATTATTTACATATTTACCTGCACAGCAAGAGAAGCTGCATTGTCAGAAAGTAAAATTTGTTCCCCTGTGAAAATATAACAAATGACCTAAGTCAAAAGTGTAATTGCTAAATACGCAAATGCTTTTTTTTTTTTAATTTTATTTTATGTGTATGCGTTTATTGCCTGCTTGTAGGTAAGTGCACCCGTGTCCTGCAGTGCCCGCGGAGGTCAGAAGAGGCTGTCGGATCCCCTAGGACTGGAGTTATGGACAGTTATTAGCTGACATGTGGGTGCTGGGATATGAACTAGGGTCTTCTTCAAGAACAACCAGTGTTCTTAACCACTGATCCATCTCTCCAGTCCCTTATAATACTTTTTAAACTATTCTTATACAGCAATTATAAAGCTTTATACCAATGCCGTTATATAACAGCTTTGATTAAATTATCATATGTAAATAATGATAAAAGAGCATGTTCCTTCTAAAATCATTTGATCATTTATCTCGTTTTATCAAAAATGTGTAATTAAAATTGCTTATTTAAAATCATTTTTAAGTCTTCAGAAAATATTTTCCTTTTTTTCATTAAAATTAAGTTAAATAGTATCTGTTCAAAGCTCTCTAGTTAAAAGTAAAAGCATTTACAATCATATAAACCAGCTTACAGTTAATATTGCACAGTGTGTCTAGGTCTGTCACACAAAAGAAAGATGACAAGTTCACTGCAATAAAAATTCCATGCTTAGAAGACTAGGGCTGCTGCCTATTAGTCTTCATTACTTTGCAGTCTTCTGACAAGTGGAGCAGTCTGCTGAGCCCCAAATGGGGTCCATAATGTGATCTGATGATATATGAAGAGCTGCTAAAGGGAGCCTGAACCATTCTAGCCTATACATTTTAACAGTTCCTTTTTACTGAGAGGCCACTTTACCACAGGACTTGGAAAATCTGCTGTCTCAGCTATTGGTACAGTAAATCTGCCAAGTGCTCCTGCAACCACATCATTTTACACTGCCTACAGCAGCCAATATAATGAGTCAATAATAAACTAAGGACCTTATAGGCTATGAATAGTTGGTTTACCTGGCGGATACAAGTTCAGGGAAAACCTCCTAGACAAATTCTACAAGGGAATCCTTTCTTTGTGTTTTACATTCTCATTGTAGTAAATTATAGTAGTGAGTTTGGGGGATGAAGGCAGTTTTTTGTTTGCTTGTTTTTGTTGGGTTTGGGGGTTTGGGGGCAGTGGTGACAACGGTAGTAGTTATACACATTTTGATACAAAGCCATTTTTAATTGTGAATAAGAACCTACCTTTCAGTTGCTGATACAACGTTGCATTTTCAGGCCAAGGTTCTGTAGCTGCAAAAAACAGGCAATGATAATTAGGCACATAGGGCAAAAATATATCAATAATCAGTTAAACTAATCAGTATGTACACTAAGCATTTGAAGTCTTATGCTAACGTAACCTTAATTACTGCCAACTAATCATACTATCTTAGATTCTATAGTAACCTGCATAACGAGGTCACACTGTTCTAAATATGTTTCCTTTACTACCTGGCAATAAGGATTTTTATGGGAAACAGAGGGAAGACATCTTGCCCAATTAAATGAAAACTTAAGAACTAAATTTAGCTTACTTAAGCATACCTATACCCAAAATATTGTTCATATATACAAAGATACTAGTATTTGATTCCATACAAAAGATAGTGAAACAATGTTTATAACATTTTATAGTAAGCTTTTCACAAAGAAAAATTTCACACTAAATGAAAGAATCAAATATATCTGTATCATCCTGACCACCTTTCCTTTTTAAAAGACAGTATTTTTAAAATGTAGGAATCCCAATGAATATAAAAGGATTCAATACCTTGACTCTACCACTGCCAGCTCACAAAAACAAGGAAAGTCAAATGGCATAATAAGCATTAAGCATCTACAATGTGAAATAAAGTCAGTAACTCTAATTTTGTCTGAAATGAAGCTTCACCATGATCCTTAATCTCCCATCTATAGAAAATTGCAAGTACAAAGAGAATATTACAATCCATCAGTACTGAGGAAAACCATTAGATTTAAATTGTGTCTGATCAACTGTACTTAAGAAGCAATGATTCCATTAACAGAATATACAGGTTTATCAAGATCTCATTTACTCAATTCTTTGCAAATACTATAAAACATGGAAATCACTAATTTTTAAAATGTTATTTTTATTTTATGTATATGCGTATATTGTCTGCATGTAGGTAAGTGCACCCTTGTCATGCAATGCCTGCAGAGGACAGAAGAGACTGTTGGATTCCCTGGAACTGGAGTTACTGACAGTTGTTAGCTGCCATGTGGGTGCTGGGATTCAAACCCGGGTCTTCTGCAAGAACAGTCAGTGTTCTTATCCACTGAGCCACCTCTCCAGCCCCAAGAAATCACTCAGTCTAATGCAGCAACTACAGCTGTTCTTAGCAAGAAGGCAAATCATGTGACATTTAATAATGATATTTTATTGTGTTTATACTAACCCAGTCTGACACAGTAACAAATCATTTTAATATATAATTAGTGCTGATTTTTAAAAGAAATTTATACATGTAAAGCAATTTTAAGACTGGTTGTTTAAGAGGTAATAGGTAAAAGGAACCCCTTAAATTTGTTCTTCTTATACTTTAGATTGAAAATAAAAACACTAAAATTACAAATGTTACATTTGACTTAGTTTAGTATACATAAAATTAAGGTGCTATTTGGTGATATTAACAGAAAATAATCAAGCAAAGGACTATGCATAGTTTTGCATATTGTTAGCTAAGATATTATGCATATGTAAAGGCTACTGGATTTCAACATATACACCAAAAAGGCAATGAGACTAAATATTTATATTTTACTGTAAACACTTTAACAAGGTGAAATTTCAGTAAGAACACAATGAACCTGTGTAACACAATCCTTAAAAATCAAGGAAACAAAAACAAACTGCCATCAGCAAATTACTCAAAAGTAACTTTTTAAAATAAACTGTACGGTCAACACACCTGTACCATTTACTTCTACACTAGAAATAATTCAGTGAAATTCATAAGAACCTAAATCATCAAATATTTAATTATATATATTACATAAGTCAAAGCAATAAAGCACAGGAATAAAACTGACAAAAATTGCCAGAAGATAAATATTAAAACTAAGTTCCTTGATGCAACAGCTGTTTCTGTCCTATGCATCTGTGTAAGCAATCATGTACCATGTCTTACACACAGCTGGTGTTCATTAATTGTATAAAAATGGATATTTAAGTTAATTCACGGTCTAAGGGTTTAACACAGTGGTAGAGTGCTCACTGAGCATACATAAAGCCCTGAGTTCATGCTCAAGCACTGCACATACACATACACATACACACATATTAATTCATCATCAGTATTATGATGGATTATCCAGATCTAATCCTATAAAACAGACCTATATGAAAGTAATGGAAATTTTGCAACATATTACCTGATTGCAAGTAAGTTGCCAACAGATACCAAAAACTCTGGCATGAAGGACCTAAAGCTAGAAACTGGGAAAAACTAGGAAAGAGTTCATGTTTTATATGGCCCAAGATATAAACTATATTTCAACTCAGAAATTAATGAAAATAAATTCTCAAAAAGCAACTCTACCAAAATATCTGGTATTTTCTTCACAAATAAAACTTATCAGCTTAAAAAGAGAAGGTAAGCACAGTGATGAAACCTACGTAACCATTTTATTTTAGCAGCTAGGAATTCTAGAGTATCATGGATTAGTAGATAGAAATGGCAGTGTATATAGAAAATGACCAGCTACCCAACTCACCCTGAGCAGCTCAGAGCATACAAATACTATTCATTTTAGAGCACAGGCCATGTGACCTAGTTGAAATAATATTTAAAGTGTGACACGGGAAAAGAAATCACTAGTATTATTCCAAAAGACTGCCAAAAGTAAAAATCTCAGGTTGAGTGGCATGTCATTAGACCTACGAATCAACCATGTAAGTGCCATTCTAGGAAATAAGCTCTGTAACTACCTTTATAAGTAAGTCCATGAATTATGAACATTCTCACACACAGAGAACAAAATACAAAAACTACTTCTTGATTTGGATAACATTAGTTAAGCCTTTTATTTTGAACACCTGATGAGTCAAAAAGACAAACTTTTCCCCCACTCTTCACTTTCCCAAAGTCAAGCAAGTCAGCCCCCCACCACTTGCTCCTGAGCTACTTCTTTAATGAAGGGAGGTGCGCATTCTTAAAGCGTAGTGATGACAATAGAGACTTAAAAGACCAATAGCATTTAAAAAGAAAAATACAGGCGGGCATGGTGGCGCGTACCTTTAATCCCAGCACTCTAGAGGCAGAGGCAGGCAGATCACTGTGAGGCCAGCCTGGTCTACATAGAGTTCCAGGCCAGCTGAGGCTACAGGGAGATCCTGTCTCAAACAAACAAATAAAACAAAAATTATTAAAAAGAAAACTATTTAAGTAATCAACATTTTCTTTTTTTATTACTTTTTCTTCAGTTGACTTGAAATGTTTTAGGCCACAAATTACTTCCAATAGTAAATAAAATGCCATGACTCACCTATCCCATCTACTTTCAATTCTACCACTCAAAGCAATCCCTGATATGTGCTGTTTTAAACATGCCTTAGGGAAGGAGTAGCCTTAGAGTAACTATAAAAGATGAAACTAAACAAGTTTCTAAAAGGGAGATTGATAAGAAGTGCAAGTTGGGAAAATGAGTTGTCCACAACTGTCAAGGTGCAAGTTACTTATGCTCAAGCACATCGACAGTTATGTGTGGGTCTCAGAATAAACCTTCAATGACGTACCCACTTCCATTTAGCCTTAGGAGAGTCATCCTTTCTACCCATCACACACATATACCTCCTCCCAATTCTGTGCCACTCTGCACTCCACCCACAATGGCTTTCACCCAATTTCTAAATGCAATACAATTTTTCTTACCCACAAACTCATTTGGGCGGTTTCCTCTGCCTAAAACTTGATCAGGTAAAGCCAGGTTCGTTCAAGTATAACATATGCAGCTGAACAGAGCCTTACATTTAGGACCCTATGAAAGTATTCTTCTGTCTCAGTCTTGGAGTCTGTATTAGTTATTTTTCTGTTGCTGTGATAGAAACACCATGACCAAGGGAACTTGTAAAAAGAAAGAGTTTGCTTACAGTTCCAGGGGAATTACAATCTGTCATGGTGAAAGGGGCATGGTGGCAGAGGTGGCTGGAGCAGGAGCAGAAAGCAGAGCTCTCACATCTTCAATCAGGCACAGGAAGCAAGAGAGACATAAGAACTCTCTAAGCCCGTCCCAGTGACATGCTTCCTCCAGCACAACCACACCTTCTAAGACATCCCAAAACAGCACCACCAACTGGGCACAAAATGTCCAAATACTTGGAGCCTATAGGAAACATTGTCATTCAAACCATCTCAGAGTCTACATTTTTTGAGCAAGTTTTCATTTTGCCCTGTACCCTACAAATTATAAAGATGATCTTATCCCCAGGCACCCTTTTATCCACGTACCCTTTTTACCACTTATCACTCCCAGTATTTTTACAATAGGAATGTTTATCTCCACAGTCAAAAATTAAAATGTAAATCCAGACTTCATGTTGTCCCTAGAACGTAGGTACACAAGATAATCAGTAAATGTTAGCTGAATAAATGCTGGTGCTAGCTAGCTATCAGCACTACTACTATTGTCATCACTCTGCACCATCATAACCTCAGAGTGCTGCCAAGAAGGAAACTATACTATATAGAAAAACTGTTTTAAAAACTAATTAACAGCTATAATTAACAGCACAAGTCTAAAAAAATTAAACAGCTGCCAGAAAGCAGTCAGATCTTAGATTTCAACTTCTTTTTAACTCTTCCTCTTCCTACTTTCATTATTAGTATAAACTTTTCAGTGTGTCTGATACATATTAAGGGAATTAACCACCATGTGATTTTTAACCTATTTAGGCCTGTATGCTGAAATACTTTAATGGGGGCACAAGATTTTTTTTTTTTTAAATGACAATCCCTGGGTTAGAGTCACAAGATATGGAAAACATAAGAGCAAGACAGCTTGTTAGAGAGTTCAGGCCTTGAAGTAATGAGGCTTGGGAGTGTATATATAACATTAAATATCTGATTGGGACAATTTGAATATGAAATGCCTCCAACAAGCTCATGTGTTGCTGGCCAGCTGGTAACACTACCAGAAAATGCTAGGAACTTTAGGAGGTAGGGTCTGGTCAGGGAAGTACACAAGTGGAGCTAGGCCTTTGAAAGCCCATCTTCCAGTTTCTGTCTTCT